GCCTCCTCGTTCTCCCGAAAGAACTTCTTGCGGAAGAGGAGGCGCAGCTGCACTTGCCGCTCGCTCTTCTCTCTGAAACTCGTGAGCTCCGCCATCACGTCCCCCATGTAGGCCTTTTCGTCGATCCCCATGTAGTCATCTGTTCAATAAAAAGGAAATTTAAAATAAATCTGAGATGTTACAAGCAGGGCTGATGTACACAAGTGCGCCATTGCAGTCATATGTGCGAGTTGAATAAGCTTGGAACTGGGCAGCATCGGACCGTCAAACCTTACAAACACGCAAACGCGTGCAGCAAGTCTATCACTCAAGTGACAACATCACATCTGAAGACCTGCCAGAGTCACAGAGACACAATTTCTGACTTGACTAATTCACATATGCACGGGACGGGACAGACAAACGAACTTACTGCTCTGAACCACCTCACAGTATGCAAATGACAGACCAACGAGCTTACTTTTCTGGATCGAGTCTGAATCAAGTTTGAATCAAGTCTGAATCAACTCTGCCCATGACCTGAACAGGCTGTGTGGCTAGGACTCTAGGAGGTGTGTGGCTAGGACTCTAGGAGGTTAAGACTCACTGGATACGTTCTCCGAGTTGTTGTTGGCGAGCGTGATATATTTCCTGTGCTCGTATAGCCCGAAGGTCTGGAACTCCTCCAGGCGAATGCTGGTTGCCACGCTCTGCATCGAGCACAGCAGCAGCAGTGATGGCCGCACAAAGACATGACAGTCACATGGTCGCACAAGACATGACAGTGAATTAGAGAGAATTAGAGAGAAATACAATTTGCTGATTCAATGGAAAGCAGAGAGACGCATGAACAAACCTTCAACGCGGCTCAGACCAAGAACCATCTAAAAAACTGAGGCGTCTCAAAACCAAAGGGACAAATCTCGCGCTTCAGTCCTATGCCTCTACAGTCCCATGCGCACCTCCAGAATCTCCGCGGCAGTCGTGGAAGCGTCGTAGCCGACCTCCTCGAACGTATCATCCAGAAAGAACACCATCGTCTTGAGCGCACGCCCCGTCATCAGCGCCAGCAGCTCATCGACGGTCGGGATCGTCTTCCTCGCGCCGATCTTCATCGCCTTCTTCAGCGCGTGCCACGTGGCGAGCGCCTGCGACTTCACCTCCTCGTCCACCCCCGCATCGTTCGCGATCTCATGCACGTACTCGGTAATAGGCGTCCCGAGATACGCCCCTGGCGGCGCCACCGACGCGCACAGATGCATCACCTCCCATGCCCGCAAACACGCCTCCCTGTCGTGGTTATTCCGCGTCTGCTTGTGCAGCTGCGCGTACAGTTCCTCCCGCATCTCCGGCTTCCGAAGAACCATTTTGAGGATTCGCATCAGCGTCTGCGCCAGCTCGCGTTCGTCTGTGATCGGCGCGCCGTTGAGCCCCATGTAGTGCAGAATGTCTTGGAACATTCGCACGGCTTTTGTCTGCAGGTCCGTGGGGAGCCGCGTGAGCGAGGTCGGGATGGGATCCTGCAGGAACGGCACCAGCGGGAGGCACAGAAGGGTACACAGAGGATTTCGTTGAAAGCGCACGGGACTAGATCATTACTCATACCCGGAACGAGATTTTGAGAGAAGCTTTCGTGAAGCATCTTTGTCGGTACGGTTCCTATGTTATCGTCCACGAACCCCTTCATCCTACCCTTTGAAAGCTCAGCATGTCTTCGAAAATCGCTCGGTCGGAGCCGTCGTGCGCGCCAGGAGTCGCATGTTGTCGCCGGCCCAGCAGGCTGCGACGGGCTGCGACGGACTGTCGCTGCACCGCCTTGAGGTAGTGCTCCACGTGGTACAGCTCGCTAATTGGAAAGCTCGTAAGGCTGCTGCCGGCGGCCGGCCTGCATGAGAGAGCAACAGGTGGGCAAAGCGGACAGACGAACAGACGGGGGAGAATGAATTGATGAGAAGACCCAGCGGGGGGTGAAGCGGCCAGAAGAAAGAGCCCCGTCGTGGTACAGCTCGCTCATGGGAACGGTTACGAGGTTGCCGCCTACAGCCAACCGATGCGACAAGGGAATAAGCAATTATTTCTCACGCTAGGGAAGGAAGTGTACGGCCGGCATTAAAGGCAGATAGGATGCTGTGGAAAGGCTGCAGGACGAGTAACTGAGCTAAACCGCACGAATCTACGTTAAATCTGACAGAAAGATGCATTTCGTACCTTGAGAGCACTTGAGCTGAGACAGAAGAGCAATCAGGCGACTCGAGCTGGCTCGCAGCAGCCTCCAGCTGACTGTTCTGTGCATTCGGTAGCTCCCTCATGACATGCCTGCCGTTGGAAAGGTCAATCACTCATGTCAGGGACAAGGTTCCGGGTAACTTTCGGAACAGCAAGCTTAGAACTCCAGAAGATAATAAACAAATTGGAGCGTTGGGAGGCGGGAAATAGACATTACATCATTACTCGACTAGTATTCTAGTTGCTCCTCCACTTACTTCTCTACGATGGTAATTCCCCCGCTATGGTACCCCGCATCCATCTGAGACCGCAGGTTGAGGGGAGTCACGGGCCTGGTCCCTGACTCCGAGGAGTAGGTCGATCCGACCATCCTGGAAACGCTGCGACCAGAGCAACTCGAACGTTCTTGTCGCTGTACGCTTGAATCAACAAACGTAGCTAGATTTTTCCCTGACAAAAGAACGACAGTGAAATGCTTTCTAATCGGGTTCTTCACGAAAGATCAACGGGGGAGGAGCTAAAGCTAGAACTAAAAAGCAGTCGCTTCCTAAGATAAGAACCCGAAATGTTACCGCGATAATCCTAAGTAAGGTAGCACCCCTCGTTCCGCCTTCTTCAGCGTTGTTTCTAGTCGAACGTGGTCATTATGCTCGTTGATCTTTAGAACGAAGGAACTTGTAAAATGAATGTCCCCATTAACAATAATCCCTACGATGTAAAAATCTTATTGCGTACTCGACCTTAGCGAACGCCATGGCTGACTGTAGGGGAAATCGCAAACTCTCGCTGACAAGCTAAAACGTCTCCGGAAGTCCGACCCAATTTCAGACTAGTAAGCAGACAAGCATTTGCGAAAGCCGGCGAAATCGGTTAACCTGCACGACGAGACGGGACAGTTTCGACGCCGTTGGATTCGAGAGCCGAATTTCTCGAAGACAGGAAAGCCGTCAAGCTGAGAGTCACTAGGCGTGCTTCGAAGATCGGGAATGGCAGGACGCGACAGCACACAGGGCTTGGATGAAAGCAAGGCTTGAAGTAATCAGGAATCATGGTTGAAAATTGGTCCATGGTTGGATGGGAAGGATCGACCGAGGTGGACCATGATTAACCATTCAATAAAGTATAAAACCGAGAGGTGAGACGGAAAAGCCTTGGGTGTGTGACATGATGGAAATCCGAACAGAAGGGACCTCGCCAACGGCATTCCTTGTAGACTGTTTGGGGCACAGGAAGATGATTCTGATGAGTGTCAGGCAGGGAGAGGGTGATAGAAGCAGTGGCGGGAAAAACGTATTGTGCCTGCATGGACCAACGAAGCGCGGTAATTAGAGGATCCCTGGATGAAAGCATTTTGATAGAATGTTCGCATGGCCGTCCGATTACGCTGACACAGAGCCCGAGGCTGGTGAAAACTCAAGGGTCGAGTCGCGATAACCTCCATACCTCACAAAAGTGAGTGCCTACTCGTCCTAAGCAGAACCGTTACGGTTCAAACCGTTTGCATTACATCTGTGGTTGGATGTAAAAGAAAAATAGATATGTAAATGGGGAAATTATAGAGGCATCATATCATACAGTATCTGTTATAATAAGCATATTTGAAAAAAAACCTTTAAACCGATATATGTGAAGCTGAAGCATTTCATAATCTATGTGGTCAATTTTGATTTTCAGTATCACTACTCAGATTGGAATGCTACACTTTAGACAGTATTCGTCGACAAAATTCAAGGACTTCTGTGGAGAATCTCTACAGCCCAACCGCCCACCCACCAGCCACTTGCTCCCACAACTTGGTCCTGATTTGTATGGTGCATATCGGTTCAAAGCGGCGAGAAGAAGGAAAGCCTGCTTACCGTGTGGAAGCCTACTGAACCGCACTGGTAAGGGGTTGAGACATTATCATCGGCCTCTTCAGAGCACAGCAAATGTCCCTTTCAATCGCCAAGTGAATTATTCGGCGGGCATCATCCCTCAGGCAAATAGTGCTGTGTGTTCCTGTGTGTCTGTGACCATAGAAATGCGCCGCTACTTATTTCGCCGTTTGGCGCTCCGTTCGTTGGCTTAGAGCCACGCGCGTCGTATAAGTGATACAATGGTTTAGCGAAAGTTGCGAACGAGCGAAGTATCGTAATTGCGGACAGGCTTCAATTTCCTAGTGGTGCATTCTTAGCGAGCTTGAGAGTCAGTCTGCTTTCCCGCGACACATGCTGTTATCGTGGCTAAGACGTTATAACGAGAGGACATTAAGACGAGCATAGGATGCTTCAAATTATCCAATGTGTACTAGCTCGTATTTATAAGCTGTAAACTTTCGGCATGGGGACATTTTGAAAGCAGTTATCGCCGTCGACGAAGCCAATTCCAATGGTAGGCAATTTCCTGCGTAAATTTCTAATAGTATCTTGCGCCGACGCGACAATGGCTCACAGAAGCCAGTACCACTCGCAAGTGTATCTTGGTGGACTTCTTCAAAATAGTTCCACAACGGGGATTATCCTTCCACGACTTTCGAATTACCTTTTTGGAGATTAACAACTAATTTCTGAAGCCACGTTCGTTCCAGTCTTTGACTCTCCGTGCCCATCGCGCGCCCTTCCAGCCTTAGATTTCCGCCTGCTCTTAACTGTCCGTTCGTCAGCGAGCCGCTGCATGATGTACTGGCATGGCATGCGCACTCGTTACCGACAATTCCGCGGTCAACTTGGTTACCCCACACCTCACACCCACTCGTCACCGTCACTCCAATTTTCATTCTCGCTTCACTCACCCCTCACTTCCCGCATACCCCTCACATGTCGCAGGGCGACCAGGGCGAGGGTCGCCGCGTGTCGCACGGCGACCAGGGCGTGAGCCGCCCCATGTCGGCGGGCGGGCGGCGGAAACCCCCCGCGGAAGGGGGAGGGGAGGTGTCGGAGCTGATGGCGCGCTTCCAGCGGCACAAGCAGGTGCGCTTGTAGGGGGGGGGTGTGTGGGGGAGAGTTGATGGGGGAAGAAACGCGGAGAGGGGGGGGTAGGTGGGGGAAGGAGAGGTGGAGGTGGCGGAGCTGATGGCGCGCTTTCAGAGGCACAAGCAGGTGCGCTCGTAGCACGGGCGGGGGATGGGGGAAGGAGAATGGTAGTGGCCGGAACGGGCACCGGGAAGGGATGGGGAAAATAGAGGGGGCGGAGAGAGGATGAGGGAGGGGGGAGGGAAAGGGAAAGGATGAAACTTGAGGGGGAGGGTTTTCAAGGGTTGTAGGGTGGATGGTGGCCTGAAGACCCGTGCGTGGTGGCCTGACCAAAACGCACCACCCAAAACGTCTTTTCCATTTCCACCCATCTCCACCCATCTCGACCCCCCCATCCCCCCATGTCTCCCCCCTGCAGAGCACCAAGGACTCCTCAGGCCGTCCTCCCCCCTCGCCACTCTCTGCCAGCCCCTCCACGCTTCCCCTCAACCGCTTGATAAAAGTGTTGTTTTGAGACGTCTCAGAACAAATCTTTACCCCCCCATCTCCCCCCCATGTCTCCCCCCCCAGGCCACCAAGGACCCTTCAGGGCCGTCCTCCCCCTTCGCCACCCTCCGCGCCTCCCCTCATCACCACCCATCTCCACCCATCCCCACCCCCTTATTCCCCATGTCTCCCACCCATCAGAGCACCAAGGACCCCTCAGGGCCGTCCTCCCCCCTCACCACCCACCACGCCTCCCCCCATCACCACCCATCTTCACCCATCCCCAATCCCCCATTCCCCCCATGTCTCCCCTCTCCAGAGCACCAAGGACCCCTCAGGGCCGTCCTCCCCCCTCGCCAACCTCCGCGCCTCCCCCTCCAGCCCCTCCGCGCTCCCCCTCAACCGCTCCTCCAGCTGCGCCCTCCCCTCCTCCGCCACTGGGGGGGGCGCCAGCGCGTCCGCGCTCCCCTCGTCCCCCTCCTCCTCCGCCTCGTCCGCCTCCTCCACTCCTAAGCGGCGCTCCAGAGCTGCAGCAGCAGTGGCGGCTGCTGGTGGTGGCGCTGCTGGGGGGGCTGGAGCTGGGGCTGGGGAGGCAGGGGCGGAGCAGGTTTTGCTGCCATCCCCATCCGCTTCTCAGGTATGCTCCTGTTTTTCTAGGGGGTAAGGGAGGGAGGGGGGCTCTGGGTGAAACACGCCTGTGCCGCAGGGCAGGCACGACGCCCTCTCCTTCTCCGCCACTGCAGGGGGGGGGGCGCCAGCGCGTCCGCGCTCCCCTCGTCCCCCTCCTCCTCCGCCTCTTCCGCCTCCTCCACTCCCAAGCGGCGCTCCAGAGCTGCAGCAGCCGTGGCTGCTTCTGGTGGGGGTGCTGCCGGTGCTGGTGGTGCTGGGGTTGGGGAGGGAGGGGCGGAACAAATGCAGCTGCCATCCCCATCCGCTCCTCAGGTGTGCTGCTGATGCAAGCGCTTCTGCTGTGGTGCCCAGCCCATTGCCTGTTATGCTGTGCCTATTTCCTGCCTCTCGTATCGTGCGCATTGCAGAGCACAAAAGTGATTCAAATATTATCTGGTGTACATTACAACCACGTGCGGTGATTGATGGCAGAGTACGGGGAAGGAGGAGCGCGCTCACAAGTCAAGTGGGAAGAAATCCAAAGAGCACAAGGAGGGGAGGGAGCATAAGGAAGGGAGGGAGCATAAGGAGGGGAAGGAGGGGAAGGAGCATAAAGAGCATAAGGAACACAAGGAGGGCAAAGAGGGGAAGAAGTCCTCAAGAGTAGGTCTCCGCTGACCCCTCTCCTTCTCTCTCTTTCTCTGTTTCCCCTTCTCTCCCTGCTCTGCATGCGTTTTCCTATCCCTCTACTCTACGTCTGTACCTGCTTCTCTCCCCACCCTCCCTCCTACTCCTACCCCATACCTCCCTACCCACCGCGTACCTGCCACCATCCCCCTGACGCCCACTTCTGCTTTCCGCGTACCTGACTTCCTGCTCAATGCTGCTTCTGCGCGCAATGCTGGATCTCCCCCGGTGAATGCTCAATGACGATGGTCCTGGCGCGCGTGCGTGTGTGTGTGCTCGCATGCGCGAGTGGATGTGTGCGTGCGTCTGAGTATGCGTGTGTGTGAATGCGTTTGTGTGTGCATGCGATTGCAGAAGGAGGCATTAGAGGAGATGCGTGTGGAGGTGGAATCGCTTCGAGCCGAGCTGGCCCGGTGGCAGGGCCGGTGCGAGGAGGGTGAGAGGACCTTCGAGTCAACCCAAAAGGCACTACGAGCAGAAGTGGCGGAGTGGCAGGGGAAGTGCGAGGAGGGCGAGAGGCAGCGAGGCGAGGAGCAAAAGCGCAGAGAATCTGCCGAGGCAGGGCTTGAGGCCTCCCGGTCTGCAGCTGCTGCAGCAGGGGAGGCGGAAGGGGGTGTGGGAGGCGCGGGGGAGGAGGAGAGGAGCGAGAGGAGGGAGAGGGAGGTGGGTCTAGAGGTCCGTGTGAAGGAGCTTGAGGAGCAGGTGCGAGCTGCAGAGGCAGCTCTGGTGGAAGCAATTGAGCGGGCAGAGAGGGCAATGAGGGAGCGAGAGGAGGGGGAGAAATGGGCGTCTCAGATGGAGCAGGAAAAGGGAGAGGTGGAGAGGGCGAGGCGAGAGGCAGAGGAGAGGGCTGCAGAGGCAGAGGCACGGGCGGTTGCAGCTGAACAAAGAGTGGTAAAATTGGAACAGAAAGTGGTTGAGTTGGAAGAGAAGGTGCGTGAAGCAGAGGGGACTGTGAGTGAGGAAGGCAGGAGGAGGGCTGAGTTGGAGCAGAGAGTGGGGGAAGCGGAAGGGAGAGCAGAAGCGGCGGAGTCGCATGCGAGAGATATGGAGGGGAGGCTGGAGCAGGGGGCTCAGGAGGAGAAAAGCCGAGAGGAGAGGGACAAGGCGAGGAGGGAGGGGGAGAGAGGCGAGTGGGAGGAGGAGAGGAGGGAAATGGAGAGGAAGTGGGAGGAGGTGATGCAGGAGGAGGTGGGGCGGAGAGAGGGGAGGATCAGAGAGCTAGAAGAAAGGCTGAAAGCTGTGATGGCAGGGTCTGAGGGAGATGCATGCATGGCAGAGGGGGAGGGGGAGGGGGAGGGGGAGGACAAGGGCAAGGGCAAGGGCGGGGCGACAGCAGCACAGGAAGAATCAACGGCTAGTTTGGGAGAGAGAGGACATGGTGAGAGGGAGACGGTTGGTGTTGTCCCTGCTGGTGTGGGCTCTGCTGACGTGGCGGTCTCGCAGCTGCCTGCTGACGTGGCACTGCTGCAGCACAAGCTGGAGGTGGCGGTGGGCGAGCTGAAGAGCCTGTGGGCGGCAAAGCGGGCGGCAGATGCTGAGATCAGCGATCTGAGGCAGACTCGAGAGGACACCATCAGGTGAGTGAGATGGCATGCGATCATTAGAATGACTCTCGCTATCAGGTGAAACATCAGGCGAGTGGTGGAGTTGGAGGGGGGGAAGCAAGGGCTGGAGTTGGAGTTAGAGGAGCTGGTGGGGTGGGCGAGCTGCTGAGAGAGCAGGAGATAGCAGCAGAGGCTAGCATGTTGACATTCATATGCTCTCATCTCATTCCCTCCTTCCCGTGCCCCATCTTCCTCTGTTCCTCCCCTTGTTCCCCTCACCACCAGGCGAGTGGTGGAGTTGGAGGGGGAGAAGCAAGGGCTGGAGCTGGAGTTAGAGGAGCTGGTGAACGAGCTGCTGAGGGAGCAGGAGATTGCAGCGGAGGCGGGCATGTTGACATTCATATGCTCTCATCTCATTCCCTCCTTCCCGTGCCCCAACCCCCTTCGTTCCTCCTCTTGCCCCTCCATCACCAGGCGAGTGGTGGAGCTAGAAGGCGAGAAGCAGGGACTAGAGCTGGAGTTAGAGGAGCTGGTGAACGAGCTACTGAGGGAGCAGGAGATAGCAGCGGAGGCGGGCATGGTGGCGGAGCAGGAGTGGCAGCGCCGCCAGGAGGCCGTCCGTGCTCTCGTGCAGATGGAGAGGCAGCTCAACAGTGCCGGTGCTGCTGCCGCTGGTGCTGGCGCTGGCGCTGCTGGTGCTGTTGGTGCTGCTGGGGAGAACGCCCTAATGGATGCTGGTTACCAGGTTACAAATGAGTTGGGGCATGCGGTTGTGTCTCCCCCTGGAGGGCTGGAGCCAGCAGCAATGGTAGCGGCGGCGGCGGCAGCAGGAGCAGGGCCGTACCTCAGGAGAGGCCAATCCGACGTGTCAGCGTTTCACAGGCGCATTCCCAGCGGCTCCTCCTTCAAGTTCCTGCAGCAGCAGCAGCAAGGCGCGCTCGACCCCACCCTACTCGCAGACAACCCAGAGGAATCTGACTTCCTGGGCACAAAGCTCCCGGAGATTAAGCGCCGCCTGGAAGCAGCAGCCATCTCGCCCGCCCCCACGCCCTCCTCCTGCCCCTCCCGCGCTCCCGGGCAGCCCGGGCAGCCCGGGCAGGTTGGGAAGCCCGGACACCGCATTTCTCGGTCAGGGTCGTTCAGTGCTACGGCGGCTGCTGCGGTGGCAGCTGCGTTTGCAGGCACGGGGTCGCTGGCTGCTGCTAGAGCCAGGGCGGTGGGCGCCTCTCCTGCTGCCAGCCCTGGCGTGCTCCCTCCTGCCCCAGCCCTTCCTCCTCCCCCTCCCGCTTCTGCTTCTGCAGCTGCTTCTTCTGCCGTTTCTGCTGCTGCGGAGGCGGCAGTTTCTGCTGTTACTACTGTGGCTTCTGCTCCAGCTGCAGTTGCCCTCACTTCTTCTGCCGGTGCCGGTTCATCTGAAGCAACCACCTCATCTGCTCCTGATGGTTCTCAGCCTATCTCCTCTGCTATGCCCTCCTCCGAATCCTCTCTCCCTGCCACCTCTCACGCCTCCCTCTCTCGCCCCGCCCGCCCCTCCGGCCCGCGTCTTGTTGGTTTCGCCGACCCCGCCTCTTCCTCTCTCCCGTCAACCGCCACTGCACATTCCCCTGACACACACGCCGCCACCACGGGTGATGCTGCAGCAGTCAACACGGATAGCAGCACAGGCAGCATCACTGCCACTGGTGTTACCACTGCCAGTAATGCTGCTACCGCTGCTGCTGCTGCTGGTGGCACTGCTGCCACTAGTGGTAACCAGCATGGCAAGCCGACAGGCGGCAAGTCAATGCGCGCCGCCCTGCTGGAGCAGATGGGAGCAAGCGAGCTGGCCGACGAGCTGGCTGCCGCCCGGGCGGCGGCTGCTGCCGCCACTGCGCAAGCCGCCCGGGCGGCCTTGGCTGGCTCTGGCAGTCCGGGTGGGGGAGCGCGTGGAGGGAGTGGGGGGAGTGGGGGGATGAGTGGCATGCTGAGCTGGCTTACAGGTGGGCTGGCCGGTCAGGCTGCTCCTGCTGCTGCTGCTGCCACTGCCACTGCTGCAGCTGCTGCCGGTTCTGGCTCAGAGGCGAAGGAGGTACCGAGGCAGCTAGGTGTTGTGGTTCGCAGGCCGTTTGGCATAGTTCTGACGGGCGAGGAGAGGGCAGCAGAGGGCGGTGAGCGGGCGAGTCCCAACGGCAGTTTCAGCAGCCCCAGGGGGGGTCGAGCCGGGGGCAGCGGATTCAGCAGCCCGAGAAGCAGCGGCAAGACAGGGGCGGGTCCGAGCCCTTTGAGTCCTCGGCCGGGGAGGGACTCACCGCAAGACAGGCAGGGTAAGGCACAGCTGCAGGGACAGAAACACAGGCAGCAGACGCAACAGGGGCAGCAGCAGGGGCAGCAGCAGCAGGGGCAGCAGGAGGTGTGGCGGCACCAGGCGGCGTTCATCCATGTGTTGCTACAGCTGGCCCAGCGGGCTGTGGAGCGCAGCGAAGACGCTGCTGCCGCCGCCGAGGCTGTTCTCTCCGCCACGGCACGAGCTGAGGCTGAGATGCGCGAGTGGGAGGTGGAGCGGCATCTCTCGTCTGTGTTCGGCGAGATTCGGCTGTTTATGCGGCAGCAGGGGGTGGAGCCGGTGAGGCGGCAGGGGGCGGGCGGGGGAGGGAAGGGCGTGGGGGGTGAGGGAGGTGGGACTGGGGGAGGTGGTATGTCTACCACCACGGGGCACACGCCTAGGGACCTGGCGCAGGTTCGGGACGATCTGAAGGTTTTGGTTGGGGCGGTGGAGGCTCGGGCACGGGCAGCTGCGGTGAAAGAGATAGGCGTGGGGGGTGTGAAGGAACGGCCGAGCCTGGTCGTGGGTGCTGCTGGTGACAGTGCTGCCTCTGATTCTGCTGCTGCTGCCGCTGCTGCTTCTTCTGCTGGTGCTTCTGCTGCCGCTGCGGCTTCTTCTGCTGTTGCTTCTGCCGCTTCTGCTGATGGTGGTAAGGAGGCGGCCCCTGAAACTGAAGCCCCCTACGATGCAGCAACTGGAACTGAAGCCGCTGCTGCAGCAACAGCAACAGCATCATCATCATCATCAGCAGCAGCAGCAGCAGCACCACCAGCAGCAGCAGCAGCAGCAGCAGCAGCAGCAGCTAGTCCTGCAGATGTCCTAGTAATCAACAACACAAGTGCAGCAGTGGCTGAGTCCAAGGCAAGCAGCGAGATTCCAGAGGATGAAGACCCGTCCACGTTCCTCACAGTGCCACTCACGCCCATGCGCTCGCCCATCATCCGAGTCACCCGCAGCTCCTCCCTCCTCTCCCCCTCCCCCTTCTCCTCCGTCTCCCACCCCTCTCCTTACTCCTCCCTCTCCAACTCCTCTCCCTTCTCCTCCCTCACCCAATCTTCCCCTTTTACCTCGAACCTGCCCCCTTTCGCCCGTTCCTCCTCCACTGCCGCTCCCTCCCAGAAGCCTTCATTCTCGCACTCCCCCTCGCTCGCCTCCCTCGCCCCCAGCCTCTCCCCTGCTGCTCTTGCCCCTTACAGCAGTGGTGCCGCGGCAACTGTTGCTGCTGCAGAGAGGGAGGAGGGGAAGGAGGCGGATGGGGTGACAGTAGTGGCTGCTCCGCTTGACCTGCCTGAGCTGGTGGTGGTGGAAGAGGGAGAGGAAGCAGGTGCGGTGGAGGGAGCGGGAAAGGAAGAGGGAGAGGGAGAGGGAGAGGGAGAGGAGGGGGGGATGGGAGATGGCAAGGTCATGGGGGGGCGAAAGGATGGATCAACAGCAGAGGCATCAGGAGATGCAGCAGGAGAAGCAGCAGCTGAATCGGAAGGGGAAGTAACAGGAGAGGCAGCATCGGAGGAAGTAAAGTCGGCAGGAGGGGCAGTGAGTGGGGAGGGTGAGGGGGGTGGTAAGGAGGCGAAGGCAGAGAGGATTGAGGCAGAGACTGGAGTAGAATCAGACGCTTCAGCAGCACTGGGTGCGCCTGAGGCCACCCTGTCGGCTGCAGCTGCCACCACTGCTGCTCAACACTCCTTGCCCAAATCGCTCTCTACCTCCGAGCAGCAGCAGCGGCAGCAGGAGAAGGAGCAACAGCAGGAGCTGCAATGGCAGCAGCAGCAGGAGCGTCAGGAGCGGCATGAGTGGCAGGAGAGGCGCAGGCAGCAGCTGCAGCAGCAGCTGGCAGCCTTGGAGCACCAGGTGGTGCTGCTGCAGCGGCAGGAGCAGGCGCTGCTGCAGCAGGCTGAGGAGGTAGCAGAGGAGGCGGCACAGGAGGCGAGGCGGGTGGGCGTGCAGCAGCAGGTGGTGCTAGACGTGGAAGGGCAGGTGGCTGCTGTTCGAGACACCATGGTGTTCCTCTTGAGAGACTTGCAGGAGCGTGGGGATGGGAGGGGAGCAGAGGAGGGAGGAGAGGCGGGGATGCTGCAGCAGGCTGTGGGTGATGGGGAGCAGCGACTGATGGAGGCACAGCAGGTACGACTGCTGTGCCCCTCACGTGTGCCGTGCTCCTGTCGTGCCCACCTGTCTGCCTTGTCTTTGTCTGGCATGTTATTAAGTGCAAACAGCACTGCCTAGGGCCCCCCCTGCTGCCTTTCCCACACACAGGCTCTCAGTGCCCGTCGGCAGCGCCTGCAGGAGAGGGAGCGGCAGCACCGCCGCCTGCAGCAGCACCACTCTGTCCCCTCTCCCCCACTTATGCCCCCTGCTGGCTCTGCACCTTCCCCCACTCTCAGGTGCTCAGCAGCTACAGGCAGCGGCTGCAGGAGAGGGAGCGGCAGCACCACAGCCTGCAGCAGCGCCTGCGAGTCAACCGCCGCCAGCTAGCAGTCGCCCGCTCCGCCGCCGAAGCTGCTGTCGCAGCTACTGCCGAGGCTGGGGCCGAGGCTGGTGCCGAGCCAGTGGTGGGTGGGAAGGATGCGGAGGAGGGGAAGGATAGGGTGGTGAGAGTGGCGGCCGCTAGGAGCAGCAGCGGGAGTGGCAGTGGGTGGTGGGGGATGGGTCCCTCTGGCGGCCCTGCTGCGGCTGCCGTTGCTGCTGTTGATAGCGCAGGTGACACTGGTGCTACTCCTGCTGTTGCTGGTGCTGCTGCTACTGCCAAACCGCGTGTTAGTGGTCTGAGTATTTCGCCGGCGCACGAGCCAGATTTGTCAGCAGCAGCAGGAGTAGGGGCAGGAGGAGCAGCGGCAGCAGGAGGTGCAGCGGCAGCAGCAGGGGGAGCGGGAGGGGGCATGCTGTCATGGCTACCCATGACTCCTCGTGCCTTCGTAATGGCCGCTGCTGGCCTCCCAGACTCTCTCCGGCCCCGCACCCCACCCGTTGCTCATGCTGACACGTCTCAGGCTCAGCTGAGGCCCCGCACGCCACCCGTTGTTGCTTCTGAGACGTCTCAGCAGTCCCTCAGGCCACGCACACCACCCATTGGTGCCCATGCCCCACAGCACAGGCAGCTGCTGCAACAGCAGCAGCAGCAGCAGCGCCGCTCTCCAGCCCTGCGCCCCCCAACAACCCCTGTGGGGAGCAGCGCCGCCTATGGTCGCCCTGCCGATGCCAGCGCCCCTGCTGCTGCCCCTGCTGCTTCCCCTGCTTCCCCCCTTGCGTTTGTCCGTGCTTCTGTCCCTAATTCTGCCGCTGCTTCTGTCCCTAATTCTGTCGCTGCTTCTGTCCCTAATTCTGCCCCTGCTTCTATTCCTGCTGCTGCCCCTGCTTCTATTCCTGCTGCTGCCCCTGCTTCTGCCCCTGCTGCTGCCCCTGCTTCTGCCCCTGCCGCTGCTCCTGCTTCTGCCCCCGCTTCTGCTGCTGCTTGTGTCCCTGATTCTGCCTCCGCTGCTGCCCCTGCTTCTGTCCCCGCTTCTGCCCCTGCCTCTGTCCCTCCCTCTGTCCCTAATTCTGCCCCTGCTGCTGCTTATGAGTCGACTCAAAACCTGGCCTATGCTGCGGCTACCCTTGCTTCTGCCCCTGCTGCTGCTCCACCTGCCTCTTGCTCTTCTGCTGCCGATACTGCTGACTTTGTGCTCCTTCCTCCCGGTGCTGCACCCACCGCACCCACCGCAACCACTGCCGACACTGCGCCTACTGCAACCACTGTCGTCACTGCTCCTGCTGCAGCACAGGCGGCAGGCAGCAGGGAGAGGGGCACGGGGCAAGCCCAAGGGCGGGCCTTGCATGGCAAGGGCAGGGCTAGTGGCAGGTGGCTGTGGGATGACAGTGATGCCATCGCCACCCCTCCCATCGCACTAGAGACCCAATCAACTGCCTCTCCTGCTTCAGTTGCCGCCACAGTTGCGGCTACAGTTGCCGCTACAACTGCTGCTACACCTGCTGCTACAGATCCTTCTGCTCTTGTTGCTGCACCTTCTGCTAAAGTTGCAACACCTGCTGCGACGCCCGCTGCTACTGAGTCTGCTGCTGCTCCTGGTGCTGGTGGGAGTGAGAGCAGTGCACCTGCTGCTTCTGCTACTGCTGCTACTGGTAATGCACCCGAGGGTGGGGCGGCTGCAGGTGGGGCATCTTTAGGTTCGGCAGCCGCAGCCGGGGCAGCTTTAGGTTCGGCAGCCGCAGGTGCGGCAGTGGTAGGTGCGGCAGCCGCGGGTGGGACAGCTGCAGGTTCTGCAGCTGCAGGTGTGGCAGGCCCGAGCGCTGTGATAGGCCCAAGCTTAGCACCAATTCCTACCCCTAGGGGTCCCATGGTGGACGGGCGGCAGAGAGGGCGGCGACTACAGGACGATGAATTCGGCATGTCCCTTTCCGCCCCTGTGGTTTCTGCGCCTACTTTCGTTGATGCTGCTGACCGCCGTGCATCTCCCAGCCCTTCTTTTGCCGAGCTCGGCTCCAGAAGCAGGCGATTGGCTGATGACGGGTTTGGTAGCTTGTTCTCCCCCTCTGCTGCTGTTACTGCTGGTTCTCCTGCTGCTTCTCCTGCTGCTGCTGCTTCTCCTGCTGGTGCTGCTACTGGTGCTGCAGCTGCTAGTCCTCTTGCGGGGCTGGGCTCAAGAAGCAGGCGATTGGTTGATGAAGGTTTTGGCAGTTTGATCTCTCCTGCTGCTGGTGACGCTGCTGCAGCAATGACACCTTCCCTGGTTGGGCCTGGCTCGAGAAGCAGGCGGCTGGCTGATGACAGGTTTGGCAGTTTGGTCTCTCCTGCTGCTGGTGATGCTGCTGCAGCAGCGGGACCTGGGGTTGGGTCGAGGAGCAGGCGATTGGCCGATGATGGGCATGGGAGCAGACGGTTGGCCGATGATGGCCATGGGAGCAGGCGATTGGGTGATGATGGGTGTGGAGTCAGCAAATCATTGGATGGTGGAGTCGGTAGCTCCAGTGGGAAACGAATGTGGTGGGGAGGAGTTGAGGTGAGAACAAGATGCAGCTGAATTGCTGCCATTTTATGATATTGGCTGGTGCATCGTCTATCCTTTTGCGCTGGAATGTGCATCTTGTTTTCGTGCATTGCATGTGTTCACGAACTGACATGCCTGCCATTCTGTGTGCTCCTGCTTTTTTCCTGGCTACCAGGTAATTCCACATGATCAAGACAAAGGTGCCACTCCATCGGCGGCAATGCACCAAAATATGTGGAAGGACGAGTCTGATTTTTTTGGCTGAATCTAGTCTCATACGTTGGTAGTACAATATAGTGTGTTGTGAAGCAGAACAATAATGTATTTAATGGCTAGTGTGTTCAGGAAATCATTGCGCTTGGTTCTTTCTAGTACCGTATTCTCCCGGATATAAGACCCCCCGGAAAACAAGACCCCCGGGTCTGTAATACGGGGGTGGGTCTTTTATTTTGGCAGGTTTCCACTATACCCCCCCCTTGAGGGGGTAACATTACTAGACCCCCCCCGAGCCTAGATACTAGTCCAATTGGGGTTCTCTTGTTCGTTTCATGCCCACACTAACAATGCTAAGAGAGTTAGATGTCCATAAACCCACACAGGGTTGATTGTTCAAGGATCACAGTGCATGCATGCTGCAGCATACCACGTCAGTCCCTACTCCTGGCCTGCCACCCACTCCTCCACTTCCTGCCCATCAAAGCGGCCAGGGGCCCACCACTCCTCCCCATCGTCGCTCCATTCGTCAGCTTCTCCCATCACCTCGTCTGCCTCATCCTCCTCCTCCTCCAGGGATGCCGCCTCAAGCCCCTCTGCCGCAGCATCCACCCCATCCGCCTCCCCATCAAGCCCAGGCTCGGCCTCTTCCTCCTCCTCCCCCTCGGTGGCTGCGGGCTCAGGGGCGTCTGCGGGGTCTTCGTAGAACGGGTTGGGGAGGGGACCATCCTCTGCCTCCTCGAGGACATCCTCCAACACCTCCACCTCGGCATTATCCCGCATGTGAGCGAGGATCAGATGATCCTCGCTCCCATCTTCAGCGTTGGAGATGCCGGTGGTGAGGAATGCCTTCCTCACCAGCTCCTCTGGCACATCGGCCCACGCCTCTGCAATCCATTTAAGCACGGTTTCAGGCGGGGGCTTCTTCATGTTCCCTGTGGGGCAACGCATGGGGTGTTGGTTTGCATGTCAGCAGGATCAAACGAGGACGGCCTATGGCAAGACACAAGGGACAAACCCTCACCTGCACGTGTGGTGAGGCCGATCCCCACCTCCTCGAACCAAGTGCTATAGCGGTGGCGAACCCCGCACTTGAAGCTGCGGTTGATGGAGACATCGAGCGGCTGCACCAGGGGGGTGCAACCGCCAGGGATTACGGCACGCGTCACCTTGAACATCTTCAGCGTCTGGCCTGTGCCTTCGGTGAGGTGGCCCCTGTACGAGTCCAGGACGAGTAGCGCCTGCTTGCGCCTTCCCTCCTCGTCCCGCAGCGGCTTCAAGAACGGGACGAGCACCTGGGTCGTCCAGTCCTGGACAAGGCGCTCATCCATCCAGCCCTTTTCTTGGGCGCGGATGATGACACCTGCGCAAGCCACGATCTGCGTTAGTAACATTGCGATTAAGATAATGGTGTTGGTAGCGGTACACGTCCTACCGGCTCACCTGGTGGCACCACGATCCGTGGCACCGTCTTGCGCTTGAAGATGACGTACGGCGGGAGCTTGAGGCCGTCAGCCGTCACTGCCAGCATGACAGTGACGCGCTCCTTTTCATACCCCGCCGTCCTGACATGCACGGTGCGGGCGCCTTTCATTTCAAGGGTGCGTTCTGCCGGCATCTCCAGGAAGAGAGGTGTCTGGTCGGCATTCACGATCAGACTCGTCGGAAACCGACGGAGTACGCGCATCTGGCGGACGAATTCCCAAAAGGCTTCAACCTTTCCCTTGCAATCTACGGCACACAACACAAAAGAATCAGTAGGCAATCAGAAGACATCACTAAGCAATCGTGATTGCTTAGAACCGTTAAGGCAAGGGGATAACGGTAAGAGATGGTTGCTTACTTGCTGTGAGTTTCTGCCCCATCTTGGTCTTCACGCGTTTCGCCAAGGACCACCGGACGCGAAAGCGAAAGGTCCACCTCGCAGACGCGCGGAAATCAGCAGCAGGCTGGCGATGCTTCATGTACTTCAATGACCACTTACGGAGCAAGCTCAGCGGAACCGCCAACCCCTTGGCACGGTGCGCAAGGAACTGGCGGTACACCGCCCTTTCCATCGCAGGCCACTTCGCCTTCCGTCCGCCACCATGAAGCCGGCGGCGACATCCAGCAGAGACTTCGAGGCGCTCCTTAAGCCTCTTCCACTCGTGGATCTGCTTCGGCTGCACCTTGGCGAGCCTCGCCAAGCCGCGGATGCTAAGATCTGGCCGAGAATCCAGCATGGCCAGCCAGTGAAGCTTCTCCTTAGCGGTAAACGCGTGCCGGGTCCGCTTGGTCATCCTATGACGAGGTGAGGGAGGCGCGGCATCCAAGACTCTCTTCTTCATGCCTTGCGGACGACTTGACTGCGGGAAAACTGGGATAACGACTCTAGGAAGCGAGGGGTGTTGCGGGGGAGAGCCATGGGCACTAACAGTAGGATCACTACTGGACGTTGGAGACGTTGGCATAATGGGCCGAGGTGAAGTTCTAGCATGTGCCGCTCGATTAGTGGCTGTGGGACGAGGGCGCCTTAAATGTGATATCCCAGAGTCAGGAGAAGTCACCATCACTATTGATTCTGTAACGCAAATGCTAATGCTCTAAGTACTGGCCGTCGCAAGCCTTCAACGACCATCTGCGGTACGGGGGAATGCACAAAGAGTCTGCCGAGCAGAAAGCAGCTTCGTGCACAGATGAAGAATCAGTCAGAGCAGAAGGCATGGTGCAGTTGTGACGTTGACGTGCGCCACCCAAAACCGTGGGGGCCGCTCCAAGGTCTCTCGTGCAGCCCATGCTCGCGAGTCGTGCATGTTCTAGACCGCTAAAGTTGGAATGCACGATGACAAGGCAAGGAATCTTGCCATGTAACGCTAGATCACCCTAAATGTGCCATTTCGACCAATGAGAAGCCACACCCGGATTGATTAGCGAAATACGCACATCCGTGGTCCTATCCATGATAAAAAAAAATGCTGTATCACCCACAACAGCTAAGCATTCAAACACACTTAATAAAAATATGTCCATATGATAAGACCCGGGTACTATACATTTCTAAGCCTTTGATAAGACCCCCCCCTTTTTTTCTCTGATTTTTTCATAAGACCCTAGGGTTTTATATCCGGGAGAATACGGTAGTTATGCTTCGTGTAGTTGAGGCCACAATATTGTCAAGAGCTGGACGTCAATTCACCATGTCGCGGTTGCCAGACAAGAAGCTGCTGCCACGCTGGATTCATAAGTGATTCCAGAAGCTGCCAAGTCACCCTGGAGAGATTCTCTGGGGAGCTTCCAAGGTTGAAGGACCAGTCGCCCAATCTCCACTCCGCGTGGCACCAGCTATCAGCTTTTACTGCTTACGTTGCAATCGTGCCCGTCGAACTTTGAAGATTGGCTCCGCAAACGCAGCATTGCCGTAGATGAGCCCCTGACTGCTCAACCCATCACCAGCACCACCAGTTCAGCGTTGGGAATGTCGTGACGCAAAATTTCCCGAATCTCCGCGCTGCTGGAGGTTGAGCACGTGATCTGACCAGCAGCTGTCTCTTGCGACTGCCGTGCCTATTTCTCTGGTCTCTGAATCCCATCCTCTGCTACTTCGGAGCTTTCCCTTACAGCCGCAGTCGCTTGATTGCCGCCATTCATCTTAGCGATTTCATCTTTGCGTCCATCGCATTGCACCGCACGCAACCATGTCGGCTCTCAGCACCTCCGCTTCTCTAGCCGTCGATTCCCGGCTCGCCCTCGCCGATCAGACGGTGTTCAAGGGCCAACCAGTGACCGTCTCTGTCGCTGCTCCCGCCAGAAAGACCGTCGCGACGAGCGTGTCGTGCCGTGCCGATGGCGACAATAAGAATGCGACGCCCAAATTCGCGGCTCAGCTCGCTAGAGCCGTCGTTCCCGCTCTGTCCTCCGCGATCTTCGGTGAGTTACCATCAATAACGTGTGTTTTTTCAGGAATTGTACAGCAATTTCTACACGAGCCCCTTTTTTCGCTACTGGATGGGAGCATGTCGGGACCGGAACGGCGAGACACACGCACAAATCTCATTGATATTTTTCATTCCGATTTTGCTCTCTCGGCTTTCTGGCAGCCGCGACCGTGATGGGCATTGCGCCGACAGCTGACGCGATGCAGAGCTATCTCCTCACTGGTGGCGTCGCCGCCGCTCAAGCAGAGGTACGTCAGCCACGAGACTCGCATCGCCTCCATTCTCCCATACGGGTGCTTCACTCCTCCGGGAATTTTCCTAGGTTCCATGGTTCGCTCCCTTTCTGTCTCCAAGCTATTCCTGTGATCCAGCCGTGTCCCTCCTCCATGCTACGCGGGTTTCCATTGCATCATGTCAGCGTCCCCTCTCCAATCGCCAAAGCCCATTTGTTTTCTTGAAACCAGTGAGCTCACGCGGATTTTCGCTCGTGCTGCCCTATTCCCGTGCTTGTTCAGGAGGTCGCTGTTGTGGATGAGGCCGCTTTAAACACGGTAAGCATCCAGCCCCACTTTATTCAAACCCCACTTAACAAAATTCGCGCCTTTTCCTCTGTCAATCTCTTTTGAGTCGCAATGTCGGTCGTTTCAACTCATGGCCATCATTCTCTGGCCCCTTGTTGTCGTAACAAAATCAGCGCAAAGGAGATTATGCATTCTGAAGAAACGGGTTTGCGTGTATCGAACCTTCCGATGTCGACTTAAAAGCTGCGTGTTCTTTCGTCCTTCGCCTTTTTTCTTTCGCCAGCCTGAGGAGCGAGCCCGGCGGCTGGGCGAGCTGCTGCGCAAGAAGCGCGAGGAGCAGGAGGCGATCGCCGCTGCGGCGCGCGCGGAGGCGGAGAAGAAGGCGGCGGAGGAGGAGGCCGCGCGGAGATTCGCGGAGGAGAAGATCCAGGCGCAGAGGCTCTTCGTTAAGGTGAGTAGCGCAGTAGCTTTTGCGAACGCCAGGGGGTTTTGAGTGAATTCGTCTGCAAGGGGTCTGTGAGTCCAGAACGTGCACTGTGGGATTGGTAGACAGCGAAATGAAGGTGCCACGTTGACGCGCTTCTATGGGCAATTCGAAGCATGGCATTGGGATGACAACTGAACTACCTACCACGACCCTGATTATTGTCCCGCGCGGATGCCGGCGCGATATCGAAAGTATCTCGTTTGTTTCCCGCGGAACGCAATTTTCTCGCGAGTTTAAAGTCGTCGGGGGTGACGCGTCAAAGGCCCCTCTCTGCGGGCTCACACACCCAGTACAACCGCCTCTTATGTTGCTACGAACGGAATTTCTCTCCATACGGCGAATGAAATAAGTGTCTGAGCGCTGGCTGGAAACCTCCTTACGTGCACCTAAGGCACCGGTTTCATTAGCCATTACGAAGACACGTTTTGTCATTCGTATGTTCAACGCCTCTAGAGTCTAACCGACTCCTCCCACCCCACTGCATCCTTCCTCCCCCGCGCTCGCCCTTTCCCCATCCAGCCGGAGCTGAAGCCGTCGAGCACAGTGGCGCCGCCCGTGAAGGAGGTGAAGCAGCAGGATGCGAAGAAGAAGAGCAAGCGCGGCGGCATGCCGCTCTTCGTGTCGCAGTTCGGCGTGCTCGCCGCGTTCGGCGGTGGCATCGCAGCTCTCTTCGTGCTGCCCGATGAGAAGTGGAAGGAGATCGAGGAGGTGAGGGAGGCAGCCCATCCAGTGCAGCATCTTCTGGTTAGGTGGAAGCTCTAAGAGTAGGCGAAGGAGGACAAGCTACTCGAGCCTGTGTTAGTGTATCACCTTTTTAGTGTGCCGCCTCCCCCTCCCCCCCTCATTCGGTTGCCCCACCCCCATCTCTATTCCGTTCGCCCTATTGCCCGGTCTGTGCCCTCAACTCTCCCTTCCCTCAACGCTCATCCTCGCCCCTCGTCCCTCGCCCCTAAACTCTTACACCTGTACCCCCACACCTCGACCCTCACCCTTGCCCCTTACCACCTCAATCCTCACTGTGTCCGCTCACACCTCTCTTCCCCCCTGCACCCGTGGAGCAGAACCTGGAGGAGGAGAGGGACGTGGTGCCATGCAGAAGTGCCTTGCCTGATCCACTCATCTCACAGTCTCGCAATCACACTCCCCTCCCCTCGGTTTCCTCCCTTTGTCTCTGTGGGAGCAGGGTCTGGAGGAGGTGAAGGACTTTGTGGTGCCCATCGTGGACGACGTTGTCATCCCCTTCGCTGAAGCGGTATGCCTCTCTTTCCTCCCCTGTGCCTCATGTGGTTGGGGTGTCCTGACGTGTGCCGTAAGTGTGCTGATGCGACGTGAGAAATGTTAGTGTTGCATGATGAATGCTCTGCCCATCAGTGCTTTCACCCACTTGCCTTCAATTGCCTTCCAACTAACAGCTCACCGCCCCATCCCTTACCCCCATGCGATCCATCACCACAGACATGGGAGGCCACCCAGGAATTCGTTGAGACCGCCAAGCCATACGCCGAAGCTGCGATTGACGCTGCCAAGCCTGTCGCCGAGGCAGCCCTGGAAGCCGCCAAGCCCGTCGCCGAGGCAGCGTTGGAAGCCGCCAAGCCTGTGGCAGAGCAAGCAGTGGAGAAGGTGAAGGAGCTTACCGAGCCTATGGTATCGCAAGTGGAGGAGCAGGTGAATAAGGTGAAGGACGTTGCAGGGCCGGTTGTGAGCCAAGTGGGTGAATCGGTGGAGAAGGTGAAGGAGGCAGCAGGGCCGGTGGTGAGCCAAGTGCAGGAGAAGACTGCTGAGCTCATCAAGTCTGTTGAAGGCCCTCCCTCCAAGCCCAACGCCTGAAACACACACTAGGGCGGATCTGGGTGCTCTTCTTTAGAGACTCAAGATCTTGTGTTTTTTTCATAAGCTTTGGTTCTTACTTGCCTTATAGGTATTTTCATGTCTAAATGTGGGAGAGCCCTTGACACTTTGCATAAGTCTTAGCTATTGTGCTTTCAATCTCGTGTGTTGTCCATTAATTGGGATATAGCTTTTTAGTTGGCCATCATTGGCAGCCAGCTAGGCCAACTTGGCTGTTTGAGCAGCTTTGGATATAACTTTGGAGCCTAACATAAGGGATAATTAACTACGATATGTATGATGTCAGCCTGAACAGCTTGTTGAAAGATGCACATGGCCTGCAACCATTGTACGACCGTTCATAGCACAAACCACATATGGTATGATGCGCATTTTACTTCATGGTGTGAGGAACGAAATATTGTTTCAGATTTAAGGTGAATCTAGGATTAAGTGCAATATGTGTTTCTTCAGTTCACAAGCCATTAAAGAGGATAGTGTAACACGCAACTGGCTCCTTTCGTGATCTGTTCCCCCGCGACTCTTCCAACAAATCTGGGACGTCCATGTCAGAATATGAAAACGTAACTCCCGAGAGGCTTGTTCGTATTCCAGCTGGGCGAGAAAGCCACCTTCGTTGCACCCGCGTCCAATCAAATCACCGCCTGGCTTGGAGGAATTCGACTGCTTGCGTGCTTGTGGCAGTCGATTCTTCAATTCCCAAGGCTGCTCAAATCGTGAAGCAAAAAAGGAGCTGAGATGATGTCAGTTCCAGCGTGAGTGAGAACAGGATCACAGTACAGCGCGTGAGGGACGTCGCAGGCCGTAGTGTGACGGCGTGATTTACCTGATAGTTGACGAGTACGCGTGGCCGGCCAGATTGCTGTCTGCGTTTGCGCGATCACATCTTCACGGCCGATCTACACCGTTCGTTCTCGCTCCTGCGCGTTAACAATGTCGTCTAATCTGGGATCCATACCCGAAAGCACGTTCCCGGCGTGGTCGCATTCGGTGCAGGAGTGTTTAGATCGGTACCAGGTGGATGCAGACAAGGGTCTAGATCCCCAGGATGTCGCGTGGCGACGGAGCCGATTCGGCTTCAACGAGCTGGAGAAGGAACCGGGCACTCCGTTTTGGAAGCTGGTTGTAGATCAGTTTAACGACACGCTCGTGAAGATCCTTCTCGCCGCTGCTGCCGTGTCATTTGTCCTCGCCTACGTGGACGAGCAGGTGAGCGGATAAAGCATTCATTGTGTTTGAACGAGTAGGAGAAGGAGCGCACGCGGTTCTGGAAGCTGGTTGTGGATCAGTTCAACGACTTGAAGATTCTTCTCGCCGCTGCTGCCGTCTCGTTCGTTCTCGCCTACGTGGACGACCAGGTGAGCGGATAATCCATTCATTGCGTTTCAATTCTCCGGTTTGGAAAATCCGATTTGATTGCTTACGCGGACAAGCAGTTGCGAGGATTGAGTATGCTCCAACTCTTGAAACAGACATAGTCGGCCGAGCGGACTGGGTGTGTCATCTGATTGCGATCAGATCGGCTTCGTCCTTTGCGGGTCCAATCTCACTTCACGCGACCCGTCCGTAGCTCTACGGACCGACACCCCGTTGGTTCTCTTTCGCGGGAATTTTGCCGAGTTTCCGTCTTCAGGTCGTTGCTGACGTTCCGTGCTCTTGTGCTGTCCGTTGCTCCGTGCATCCCTCCTTCCGTGCTCCCCTCGGCCTTACCCTGTGTCTCTCACGGTTCTGTCCTCTCCCAGCTTTCGGCCGTCGAGTTGTGGAGTGAGAGAATTTCAGTTCTCAACGCGTTCTCTTCTTGCTGTTGTCCCTTGGCCTCCATTCAAGCCTCTTGCTACGGTATCTGTCCTCGCGTTTTTCTGTCTTTTTTACCTGCATCCCCCGCTGCTTCCTTCTCTTGCGTCCTTCCCTGCCTGCGTGATTTTTCATGTCAATTCTCAGGAGGACGGCGGGATAACGGCGTATGTGGAGCCGCTGGTCATTCTGCTCATTCTCGTGCTCAACGCCTGCGTGGGCGTGTGGCAGGAGAGCAACGCCGAGCGCGCGCTAGAGGCTCTTAAAGACATGCAGGTAGATAGTCTACGACATGCGCCTTATAACTGCATGGTCGATATTACCACGAGCACGCTGCGGTAAACCCTGAGTTTGAAGGTGGTTCAATCCTGGACGGTTCTGGGTTTAGGCTAACCCTCGTCTCATCCACCTGTTTTCTTGTCTATCTTGCCCTCTTCTTCTAGCTTCCATCCCCTTATCCTCAGCCCGAGGCAGCTGAGGTGGCGAGGCAACAGGGCAGCATGACAGCGCGTAGATATTCAGTCAAACCGCTCTGTTTTCCACCCTTCCCATCCTTTCCCACCCCCCTGGCTTCTCCCTCCCAGTCCGAGACAGCCAAGGTGGTGAGGGCGGGAGAGCACATGGACGACCTGCCAGCTCGGGAATTGGTACCGGGCTATATAGTGGAGCTGCGATGAGTCAGCCTTTTCAACCCTGTTCAACCCTGCTCAACCCTTTTCAACCCTTACATCGTTCCCAATTCCCCTGCCCCCCTCCTCTCAGTCCGAGACAGCCAAGGTGGTGAGGGCGGGCGAGCACATGGACGACCTGCCAGCGCGGGAGCTAGTACCGGGCGATATAGTGGAGCTGCGGGTGGGGGACAAGGTGCCCGCAGACATGCGCGTTATAAGCCTCCTCACTTCCACGCTGAGGCTGGAGCAGGCGTCGCTGACGGGCGAGAGCATGGCCGTGCAGAAGTCGGCGAATGAGGTTCAGCAGGCTGACTGTGAGCTGCAGGTGAGGGCGAAGGGGGGGTATACAGCCTATGCTTCTCAAAGTGAAACAAGCACAGAAGTCCGCAAATGAGGTTCAGCAGCAGGACTGCGAGCTGCAGGTGAAGAAAAAAGGGGTCTATGCAGTAGCGGTACTACCTTTAAAATCTTCAAAGCTAATGCAAGCACGGAAGTCGGCAAGTGAGGTTCAGCAGCAGGACTGCGAGCTGCAGGTGAGGAAAAAAGGGGTCTATGCAGCAGCGGTATTACCTTTAAGATATTCAAAGCTAATGCAAGCACGGAAGTCGGCGAATGAGGTTCAGTAGCAGGACTGCGAGCTGCAGGTGAGGAAAAAAGGGGTCTATGCAGCAGCGGTATTACCTTTAAGATATTCAAAGCTAATGCAAGCACGGAAGTCAGCAAATGAGGTTCAGCAGCAGGAATGCGAGCTGCAGGTGAGGGCGAACGCAGGGATGTGGCGTAGTCTGTGAGCTGATGGAGGGGGATTGTGTGTGCTGGCAGAGGGGAGAAAGGAGCGGAAAGAAGCTTGTCAATGTGCCACTAGCTCGGCCAAGAGAGCAATGGCTCGGTCAAGGGGCCACTAGCTAGTTCAAGGGTTCGTTATGTAAGCAGCAGGACTATGAGCCTTAGAGAGCAAGTGAGTCCGAAAAGGGAGACCATGATGTTTGTTTTCACCACAGGGATCACCAAGGCCACATGTGCGTGAACCTCATTCCTGCTCCCTCGTACCTAGTCTCACACCATGCACATCCCTGATTCTCTCCCCCCCCCCCTTGCCAGGTCAAGGAGAGCATGGTGTTCACGGGCACCACAGTGGTCACGGGCGTGAACACGCGTTTCTGGGTTGGCTCACAACATGCCCAATCTTACACTTTCCCGTACACCTCGCTTTTGTTCTCCCTCCCATCCCGCCAGGCCAAGGAGAGCATGGTGTTCGCGGGCACCACAGTGGTTAACGGCTCCAGCCGCAACCTGGTCATAGCCACGGGCATGAACACAGAGATCGGCAAGATTCAGCAGCAGATCGCAGCAGCAGCCGCCGAAGAGGACGACACACCCCTGAAGAAAAAGCTAGATGAATTCGGAGAGCGGCTGACCACAGTCATCGGGGTGATCTGCCTGCTCGTCTGGCTCATCAACTACAAGTTCTTCCTCTCCTGGAAGGAGGATCCAGCCGCCTGGTGGACCGGGGGGTTGAGATTCTCCTTTTCTTTCCAGAAATGCACTTACTATTTTAAGATTGCGGTGGCGCTGGCAGTGGCGGCGATCCCTGAGGGATTGCCTGCGGTGATCACGACGTGCCTGGCGCTGGGTACGAGGAAGATGGCGCAGAAGAATGCGATTGTGAGGAAGCTTCCATCTGTGGAGACGCTTGGGTGTACCACTGTTATCTGCTCCGATAAGACTGGCACACTGACCACAAACCAGGTGAGGCTTATAACGAGGATGGCCAGACGTTTGAATGGAATGCCTTCTTAAAAACAAATCTGACTAGCTGTTTTTTCTGGATAGAAGCCATCAAGAATCTTTGAGCTCCATAGTCCAAGTATAAAAGATCTTCTTACCTCGTCTTCCCACCGTCTTAACTCCCAAATGACCTTCCCCAACCCCCATCAGATGGCTGTGTCAGCCCTGGTCCTCCCAGCACGCTCCCCTCCATCTTCCTCTCCTTTGCCGTCGACGGAACCCGGCAGCTGGGAAATCATTAACCGGGTGTTTTGCTTACCTCTGCCTTCCCATCTGCTTAACCCACTCATCCCATCAGATGGCAGTGTCAGCCCTGGTCCTCCCAGGCACCCTCCCCTCCACCTTCCTCTCCTTCGCCGTCGACGGAACCTCCTACAACCCGGCCGACGGGGAAATCATCAACTGGGGGCGCTCAGTCACCTTTCCCAACACGCAATCTCTCACGCATGCAGCTGTCCTGTGCAACGACGCGAGCATATCGCTCAAGGGAGGGGCTTACAGGGCGTCGGGGTTGCCCACAGAGGCGGCGCTGCGAGTGCTGGTGGAGAAGATTGGTGTGCCGGATGACACGGCACAGCTGAGCATCCGGAATAAGCGGAAAGGCGCGCCTGCGTCACATTTGCAAGGTGAGAGAGCTACACGCGCAGAGAGCATGCGTCCTGGTCACGTTGTTAGGAGTGAGCGCGCCTCGTGGGTGGCGCTGACCCAGCCAGAACCATCATCGCA